GCCCCCACTCCCTCCCCCGCTTCCCATCAACCCCCCTCCCCTTCCACTCCTCCCATGGGCTTGAACAAACCATGGCACATCAAGTTGAGGCAGGACCTAGCTCCCCACTTGTGTTAAGGCTGGGCAGAGTAAATCCAGCATGGGTAACAGGTTCCCAAAAGCCAGCTAAGCACCAGGGACAGGTCCTGATCTCACTGCTAGGAGCCTTACAAAGAGACCAAGCTATCAAATTTTCCTCATGGCCTGCCCTGAGGAGATTTCTCCCAGAGTCCTGGGGAAGACACTAAGATCAGTGGGGGTAATCTGAGGGAATGAGTCCAAGTACACCAAGCTCTACAGTCCATTCACTTTATTCATCTGACACAAGATTCTATCTACACAGATTCAATTCTGTACTCATACATAGCTCCTCTCTGTCCCTTCTCCTCCTATTGTCTCATAACTCTAAGTTCTTTTCCGTCCCCATCCTCATCTTCATTCTTCTCCATCCTTGTTCTTTCCCCTTCCTCTTCCTGTGACCCAGTCTACAAACTTGCAAGCTCTGTGTCCATAAAAATAAAACTGCCTCTATTTTTCTATATGGCCATTTTCTGGCAGGGTGGGATAACTTTGTTCAGAGCTAGGAAACCTGCCTCAATAGCTTCATTGCACCTGGTATGCAAAAAGCCTTTTTGTTCTGAGTCAATTGCTGTGGAATGCCACTTGGGCTGTGAGAGAAAGGAGGGTCTGAGCTTCATTTGCACAAGAAACAAAGCTATGCACCTAACCTCTGCCTGTCTCCTAGGCCTAGGAGACTGGTGGTATCTCTGTAAGGGTGTTTACCTTAATTCAGGAGATGAACAGTTGATCTGAAATGCTTATTCTGCCTGCTGTTTTGGCCTTGGATACTTGAGAGGTATTTCAGATAAAATACACTGTTAGAAGTTCTTGGGGAGCTATTGGGAGCACACATGAAATTCATAGCAGTAAACAGCTGATATATTAAAAGCCAAATAGCACTAAATACTCCTTGAGATATGGGTTCCTCTGGAAGAATTCCTTGATTCTTCCAGTTATAGCTTTAACCATATATAGCTGAATCCCTACTTCATAATCCTCCAGCTTGTAGCACCAAGCTACACAACTGTCACACGCATGCAGAGGGCTAGGTCAGTCCCATGGAGCCTCCATAAGTGTTGGTCCAGAATCCATGAGCTGCCATGAGCTCAAGTTAGCTGTGTCTAAGGGTTCCCCTGTCATGACCCCCTGGGTCATATAATCCCTTCTCCCTTTCTTCAGCAAGACTACCAGAGCTCAACTCAGTGCTTGGCTGTGGATCTCTGCATCTACTTCCATCAGTTACTGGATAGAACATCTCTAATAACAATTAGGGTAGTCACCAATTTGATTATAGTAGATGGCCAGTTCAGGCACCCTCTCCACTATAGGAGTCTTAGCTGGGGTCATCCTTGTGGATTCCTGGGAGTTTCCCTGGTGTCAAGTTTCTCCCTAACCACCCAACCCAACTCCCATCATAGATGTCTCTTTCACTACTCTACCCTACATTCCATCTCCAACTGCCTCCTGCACCCAATCCCCTCTCTCAAGTTCACATCCCTACATCCACCCGTCCCCTGCCCCCAGTTTACCCAGGAGATCTTTTCTATTTCCCCTTCCCAGGGAAATCATGCATGCCTCTTTGGGCCCTCTTTGTTCTATAGCCTCTTTGGGGCTATGGATTGTAGGTTGGTTTTCCTGTACTTTACTCCTAATATCCACTTATGAGTGAGTACATGCCATGTTTTTCTTTCTTTGTCTGGGTTACCTCTCTCAGAATGTTTTTTTTTCTAGTTCCATCCATTTGCCTGCAAATTCATGAAATCAATTAGTTTTTACAACTGAGTAGTACTCCATTGTGTAAATGTACCACATTTTCCTTATTCATTCTGAGGTTGAGAGGCATCTAGGTTGTCTCCAGGTTCTGGCTATTACAAATAATGCTGCTATGAACATAGTTGAGCATGTGGCCTTGTGGTATGATTGAACATCCTTTGGGTATATGCCCAAGAGTGGTATAGCTGGGTCTTGAGGTAGATTAATTCCCAATTATCTGAGAAACCCCCATGCTAATTTCTAAAGTGGCTGCACAAGTTTGCATTCCCACCAACAGTGGAGGAGTGTTCCCCTTAGTCCATATCCTCTTCAACATGAGTTGTCATCAATGTTTTTGATCTTAGCCATTCTGACAAGTGTAATATGGTATATCAGACTCACTTTGATTTGCATTTCCCTGATGACTAAGGATATTGAACAATTCCTTAAATGTGTTTCTGCCATTTGAAATTCTTCTGTTGAGAATTCTCTGTTTAGCTCTGTAGCACATTTTTAAAATTAAATTATTTGCTATTTTGATGTCTAGTTTCTTGAGTTCTTTATATATTTGGAGATCAGCCCTCTGTCAGATGTGGATTTTTTTTTCCCATTCTGTAGGCTGCCATTTTGTCTTATTGACCATGTCCTTTGCCTTACGGAAGCTTTTCAATTTCAAGAGGTCACATTTATTAATTGTTGATCTCAGTGTCTGTGCTACTGATGTTATATTCAGGAACTAGTCTCCTGTGCTAATGTGTTCAAGGCTACTTCCCACTTTCACTTCTATCAGGATCAGTGTAACTGGATTCATGTTGAGGTATTTGATCCACTTGGACTTGAGTTTTGTGCATGGCAATTGATATGGATCAATCTGCACTCTTTTACATGCTGACATCCAGTCATGCCAGCACTATATGTTGAAGATGCTTTCTTTCTTCCATTGTACAGTTTTTGCTGCTTTGTCAAAAATTAAGTGTTCATAGGTAAGTGGATCTATATCAGGATCTTCGATTCAATTCCATTGATCCACGTTTCTGATTTTATGCCAATACTAAGCTATTTTTATTACTATATCTCTATAGTAGAGCATGAAGTCAGGGATGATGATACCTCCAAAAGTTCCTTTATTGTATAGGATTGTTCTGGCTATGCTGGGGTTTCTGTTTTTTCCATATGAAGTTGAATATTGTTCTTTTGAGGTCTTGAAGAATTGTGTTGGAATTTTGATGGAGATTGCATTGAATCTGTAGATTGCTTTTGGTAAGATCGTCATTTTTACTATGTTAATCTTACCTATCCATGAGCATGGGAGATCTTTCCATTTTCTGATATTGTCTCCAATTTCTTTCTTTAAATATGTAAAGTTCTTGTCATATGGGTCTTTCACTTGTTTGGTTAAAGTTATCCCAAGATATTTTATATTATTTGTGGATATTGTAAAGGGTATTGTTTCATTGATTTCTTTCTTAGCCCATTTATCATTTGTATATAGGAGGGCTACTAATTTTTTTTTTAGTTAATCTTGTATCCCACCACATTACTGAAGGTGTTTATTAATTGTAGGAGTTCCTTGGTAGAATTTTTGGGTCACTTATGTATACTATCATATCATCTGCAAATAGTGAAAGTTTTACTTCTTCCTTTCCAATTTGTATCTTCTTGATCTCCTTTTGTTGTCTTGTTGCTCTAGTTAGAACTTCCAATACTGTATTGGATAGATATGGAGAGAGTGGAAAGCCTTCTCTTGTCCTTGATTTTAGTGGAATTTCTTTGAGTTTCTCTCTATTGATGTTGGCTGTTGGCTTGCTGTATATTGCTTTTATTATGTTTAGGTATGTTCCTTGTATTCCTGATCTCTCCAAGACCTTTATCATGAAGGGGTGTTGGATTTTGTTAAAGGCTTTTTCAACATCTGATAAGATGATCATGTGTTTTTTTTTTCTTTCAGTTTGTTTATGTGGTGAATTATATTGATAGATTTTCATATGTTGAACCATCCCTGCATCTTTGGGATGAAGCCTACTTGGTCAGGGTGGACAATTTTTTTTAATGTGTTCTTGGGTTTGGTTTTGCCAGTATGTTGAGTATTTTTGCATCAATGTTCATGAAGGAGATTGGTCAGTAATTCTCTTTCTTTGTTGCATCTTTGTGTGGTTTGGGTATCAGGGTAACCGTTAAGGGGATGGGGAGAAGTCTGCAGCTAGGGAAAATCCCAGGAACTCACAAGGTTATCCCCAGCTAAGACTCATAACAATGGTGGAGAGGGAGCTTGAACTAGGCTTCCCCTGCGCTCAGTTTGATGTCTACTCTAATTGTCATCATAGAACATCCAGTGACTGATGGAAGCAGATGCAGAGACCCACAGCCAAACACTTGGTCAAGGTCCTGGAGTTCAGTTGAAGAGAGAGAGGATTATAGGAGCAAGGGAGTCGGGATCTTGATGGGAAAAACCACAGAGATAGCTGACTCAAGCTAGTGGGAGCTCATGGACTCTGGACTGACTGCTGGGGAGCCTTCATTGAACCGCACTAGGCCCTCTGAATGGGAGTGACAGTTGCGTGGCTTGATGTGTTTGTGGGTCCCCTGGAAATAGGACCAGGACGTATCCCAGGTACACGAACTAGCTTTTTAGAGCTGGTTCTCTATGGTGTAATGCCTTACTCACCCTTGATGCGGGGATGGGGGGGAGGGCTAGGTCTGGCCCCAACTTGGTATGCCAGCCTCTGTTGACTACCAGAGGGAGGCCTTACCCCCTACGAGGAAGGAATGGGGGTTAGATGGGGGAGGTGGAGGCGGAGTGGGAGAAGGGAAGGGAAGGGGAACAGGGGTTGGTATGTAAAAGGAAAGAGATTTTTTTTTTTAATGAAAAAAAAAATATTGGAACAGTTAAGACTTTGGAGACTCCTGAAGACAAACTAAATGCATTTTGCATTCTGAAATAAAAATAATCCTTTGGGGGCCAGACAAAAAATTATGGTTTGGATCTTAAATATCTCAGATGATGTATATTAAAGGTTCCATTGCCAGTCTATGGCACTACTAGGAGATGACAGAATCTGTGGGAAGTGAGACTCAATGGAAAGAAGTTAATTCATTGAGGATGTACCCTTGAAGGCAGTGTTGGAACACTAGCTTCTTCTCTCTCTCAGATTGTTCCTAGCCACCATGAAGTAAACAGCTCCCCAGCATGGCATTCCCTTTTGCCATGGGCCTAAAAACACCAGAACCAAGCAACTGTGGATTGAAACCTCTGAAAAGGTGAGTCAAGGGCAATCTTTCAAGTTGCTTTCCTCCTGTATTTTGTAACAGCCACAGAAATCTAACACGCTTACAAATCAAATAAACCAAGTTATTTTTGTCACACAGTGAGAGAATTGACACGAGATAAATATCATAAAAGGTTTCAATCAAAACAACCATGTTAAAGCAAAGGGACATAAGAGTCAGTGACCCTCAACAGTCTATTTGGAGGCATTGGTCCATATTGAAAGCCAGCTGAGCACGACACAGTCTTTGTTTTAAAACTACACTTGCTTGCAAAGTGTGATTCCCTGGCTTCTAATATCAATCTCTGTGCTGCTAATTGGGTCCTCTGCATATGCTTTCCTTTTCTGTAGAGAACGGATTGCATTTATACAAAAGGGGCCTCAGCCTGATTCATGTCTGCATATATTAGGGGGTTCAAAGCATCTTTTAGGTTCTTTTAAATTACCTATTTCCTTTAGTCTGACATTTTCTCTGTCATTATGCTTTATTTATTTTTTCAGGTGAGAACTGTTTATTATGAATATCAGATGATTTTGTTGACTTGTGGTCAACAAAATTTCCTGACTTGACAGGAAAGATTTCCTGCATTGTTAGTCTTCTTACCCCTGAGATAGAGTTGTATTTTGCATGCATGTAAATACATAAATGCAACCTGCTGAATCCATTTAGTTTTATGTTATGTATGTGTTTATAGAGCTGACCACTTGGTATTAGATAACCAGTTAGTGCCTCATCTCTGGGGAAGAGTTGACTATCCCTTTCTTAGTAGTCATTGCTGCAGCTCTTTATCTAGAAATTTCCCCTATGCACATTGGTATGTCAACTGGCACTGTTGTTGTTTAAGTACTGTTTGTGCGACCATAATTTTGTGATTTCATGGGTGTAAGTTCCCTCTCATGTCTAGAGGACACTACTTGTGCCAGGGGATGTCTTTCTGTATGCTGTAAATATATGTTGTTTCCATTGGTTAATAAGCTGCTTTGGCCTATGGCAAGGCAGCTTAGAGGCAGGCGGGAAATCTAAGGAAAGAGACAGGAAAGAGAAAGGTGGATTCTGGAGAGACGCCAGCCTGCTGCCCAAGGGGGAGTAACATGCCAGCAGACCAGTAAAACCATGGAACATGTGGCAGTACATGGATGTAGCATGAATCTTAGAGAGTCTTATTAATAAAATCAAACCCGAGGCCAGTTATTGGGGTAAATGCTGGTAGATCAGAGAGACAGAACAAGCCACAGCTATCTCACCTGACCAACTTCTCGGCTGGTCTTGTTTCCCCAGACTGGAAGCTTCTGTGTCCTCATCCCAATGGCTCTCAGCTGAGCTGCTGCTCGAAAGCCTGAAGCTTAACCAGCTAAAAGCTTAACCAGCCGAATGCTTCTTGTTTCTGGTCCTCACGCCTTATAAACCTTTCTGCTTTCTACCACCACTCCCTGGGATTAAAGACTGCTTTCTGGGATTAAAGGCGTGAGTCACCATGCCTGACTGTTTCCAATGCGGCCTTGAACTCACAGAGATCCAGAGGGATTTCTATCTCTGGAATGCTAGGATTAAAGGCGTGTGCTAACATTTTCTAGCCTAAGTATCTTGTGGCTTTTCTGTTCTCTGACCCCAGATAAGTTTATTAAGGTACACAATATTTTGGGGAACACAATACCACCATACATGAATTAATAGTTATGGGTTAAATTAAGTTATAAGAGCTAGCTAGCAAAAGACCTGCCATAAGCCATACAGTTTGTAATTAATATAAGTCTCTGAGTGATTAATTTGTAAGTGGTTGTGGGACCACGGGGCTGGGCAGGACCAGAGAAAACTTAAGGCTACACTACTTGGGCATCCTGGTCCCCTGACTCTTACAATTTCTCTGTCCCTTCCTCCACAGTGTTCCATGAACCTTAGGCATCAGGTTGTGTTGTAGATGTATTCATTGGGATGGACATCCCATGGTTAGTTATTATCTGCATTTTAACTAGTTCTAGCTTTCTGTAATAGTCTCCATCTGCTGCAGAAAAGAAGCTTCTTTGATAATAGGTAAGAGCTACACTTATCTGTGTGTCTAAAGGTAAGTATTTAGGATGTAGTTAGAAATTATACTGGTTTAGGGTCCTTGGTCTCACCATCCATGGGTAATTGTCTCAGTTTACAGTACCAGACATGAATTCACTCCTATCGAGTGGGTCTTAGGTCCCAATTAGACAACTGTTTTTTAACCAAAGACCACTGTTCTTGCCATGCTGATTATTGCTATATTTCATAGACATCACAGCTGGGTAGGAAACTGATTGCTTCCCCAAATTTGAAGGTAAATCCTTATTGCTGAAGTTGCACACAATTTGGACACAGAACTTGAAGGACTTAAGCGGGAACTGACCCGGAAGCCTCCTCCCTGTACTAACAGCCTTCACTCACAGTACTCGATGGTGTTGCACAGCTGACAAGAGAGAAGCAGTCACTAGCCTGGCCCAGCTATGCTCTCTTTTAAAAGCAATCTCTCATATCTTATTGGGGTTAATTCCATTAGACAAATGCCACACTCACAAATCCCTTCAATATAAATCCTCTCTACCTTTGTACCTCATGTGAAGCTTCTAGATGACTAAACCCCTAAAATCTAAACCAGAAATCATTGCTTAAGTCTGAAAAGTATACTCTTAGATATTCTTACAAGGCATTTAGTTGTTCTATGAGGCAGTGCCTGAACTGTTTTAAGGTATATAAACAAATACTCTCCAAGCAATTCCTTTGATGTTTCCTGACACTACATATAAAAATAGAGTTTGACATATTCCCGGAGTCACTCTTATTAGAGAGTCTTTTGCCATATGCAGATAGTTAAGGATGAGGAGTTGTTTCATTTTCCAACCCATAAAACCCAGTTTTGGAAATATCTGCTCTAAACAGTAATTGGAAAGAGAGTAACTCCTCGTTTCTTTCTTTCTCCTCTGGCTACATCAGAAGTCATTAGTAAATGCTCAGAGATTTGTTTATCAAGATTAATAAACTCATTAAGTAACCTTTGCATTTTTCACAATGCACAGGCCACAGCTCGGCTGTTTTTCTGCCAGTACATTCCTTTTCTCCAGGCTCTAGTAAGAGTTTCTTTACTTTGAGATTTCCTTGGCATTTATTGTCAAGAGCCTCCTCATTTTTCACTAATCTTCTCAGAGTCCTTCTATATTCTCCCAGAAACAGAGCTAATGGCATGCTTTCAGTAATTTAGTAAGAGTTGAGATATTAAAATCTAGTTGTCTACCAGTGTTTCCAGTCTACCAATAATTTCCCTCAAAACTTAAAGATGTTTGCTGCCAAGTCTAACAGCCTGAGTTTGATCTCCAGAACCAACATAGTGGAAGGAGAGACCTTCCTATAGGCTGTCCTCTGAGCTCCACAGGTGTGCCATAGCATGTGTGTGTGTGTGTGTGTGTGTGTGTGTGTGTGTGTGTGTGTGTGTACTAAATAAATGCAATTTTAAAAGATAATCTGAAAACTTTTATTTCTCTTAGTTCTGTGGGTATAAAGTCCTGGATGGAATCTGGTGTCTAGTGCCCAGTGCATGTAATACCTAATGCAGCCACTCATGCCAGAGTTTTTCATTAACATGTCTTATTTCTTGCTGTTTCATCCCTTGTCTAGTTTTATATCAACTTGACCCAAGCCATAGTCACCTGAAAGGAGTGAATCCCAGTTGAGAAAATACCTCTATAAGATCTGGCTCTAAGTAGAAAATTAGAGCCTGATGAGGAGGGCCTAACCCATGGTGTGTGGTGGTACCCCTGGGCTGCTGGTCTTGGATTTTATATGAAAGCCAGCTGTGTTAGCCATGATGAGCAAGTCAGTAAGCAGCACTCCTCCACGGCCTCTGCATCAGCTCGTACCTCCAGCTTCCTGCCCTGACATCCTTCAATGATGTATAGTGATGTGGAAGTATAAGCCTTATTATTAAACCCTTTCTTCCCCAACTTGCTTTTGGTCATGGTGCTTCATCATGGCACTAATAACCCTAACTGTGTCCGTGCTCCTCAGACTCCCTATTAAGAAAACGGTTTACTGTCCAAGCCTTCATGTCTATCATGGCAGCCTTTGTGATGGTCCAACTGTTTTCCAAGACTTTAATCCTCTCAAATCCTGAGCTTGAGCCTGACAAACTATTTTGGTAAAATTATTCAAAGATAAGCACAGATTCAAGGGATGGAACACCAATCCCATACATCACAGAGAGACAGATTAAAGAATTTTCAGCCCTCCTTAATCTAAGTGCAGTGTTAATGAGATTATAGGGAACCTACATATAGCTTCACATGCAGTAAATGTGGGAATGTCAGTGTACAAAGTCCCTGTAGAGTGTAATTTGTTGGTAAAGAGTAGAAATGAATGTGCAATACCCTTGACCCAGCAATACTTCTTCTGGAATTTTGTTCCAAAAATACTGTCAAAATTTGAAATTATGTGAGATATAAAGCTGTTTGTAGCATATAATGGCAAAATACGGGAAGCCACAAAACTCTCTGTGTTCATTTGGATTTAAGCAACAATTACTTCAGTGTAGTTACTGGATAAATGAAGAGATGAGGGTGGAGAGTTCCAGAGGATCTGACACTCAGGTACCTTCACAGGTACCACACACACACACAGTGCACATAAATACACATAGGCAAGACGCTCATACATAAAATAAGATAAATAACTCTTTAAAAATACTATAGGGAAGACTGTTGGCTTAACAGATTTTTTTTCTCACAGTTCTGATGGAATTCAGGTTCAAGACATTGTATTAATTCAGAATCTGGTGAGAGATAGCTCCCTGGTTTGTAAACAAATGTCTTCTTGCTTGCTGTTCCTTCATGTGGTGAAGGGAGATCATCTTTTTCATCCATTGGGTACAAGTCCCATTCATAGCCAGGCATGGTGACACACACCTTTAATCCTAGCTCTCAGGAGGCAGAAGCAGGCAAATGTCTGAGTTTGAGACCAGCCTGGTCTATAGAGCTAGTCCCAAGACAGCCAGGCCTACTCATAGAAATCCTGTCTCAAAAAAATCCCATTCATAAGAGCTCTAACTGTGTCCAAAGGTCTTACCTTCAAATACTATCCCACTGGGAATTAGAACTTTAACATACAACTTCTGAAGAGACACAGACCATTCAGTCTATAGCATTTGCCCAGATATCATAGATCAAACTATGGTACTTCAACACAATGGATACAATGAACTTTAATATGGTATCCAGAAGATCTCTGCATAGTGATTCCACATGATCTTCAGGACCTGTCCTTAAGTGGTAAAAAACCAGTCCAACACATGATGCATATGTGGCCATTTTTAAAGTAGGATTGATTCAACTCTGTATAATTATTTGCTAAATTTTCTAAAACTAAAGACTAAAAAGATAAACCAAAAGCTAATATCATAGTTATTTGGCAGTGGAGGGAAGAAAATAAGATAGAGATTATATCTAGGGTTAGATATATTTTTGAGTGTGTATAGGTGTGTGTGTGTGTGTGTGTGTGTGTGTGTGTGTGTGTGTGTATTTGTGCGTGTGTATTTGTGTACATGCATACACATTCATATGAATGCCAAAATATATGTATGGTCAGAGGACAACTCAGGTGTCAGTTCTCTGCTTCTGTCTCACTGAGGAAGTTCATTATTTGGTTCCAATCAAGGATTTAGAGCAAGAAAAATATTTGCTCCAAAATGAAAATGAACTGAAAGTGAAACTTCCACTCAAGTTGATGGATATGTTCATTCTCCATTGCTATAACAAATGATCTGAGGCTAGGTAGCTTGCACAGATGTTTATTTTTCTCACAATATTGGGGCCAAATGTTTGATATTGGACAAACCCACTGACATAGCCTCTTATGTTTGCTGAGTCACCTCGTGGACGATAGCATGGTGATGAGAAAACAAGCAAAAATGCAAAAAGGAGAAATCAGATGAGAAGCCAGACACCAAGGAGGTTCACTTTCAATGTTTTATAGCAACCCTCTAACCAGGGTCTCACAGGAACTTTATCAATTCCTCCCATGGACAACACTCTCAATGACTTAAACAACCCTCTCTTGGCCTTCTTGGCAAGATCCGTTCAAAACCTATTCAAAACAAACAGAAGCCAGTATGACCTCAAGGACCACCTATTAACTCATTCTTTCTGGGTTTCTGCACGTGGCTCCTCCATTTCCCAGTCCTTCCAAGAACATTCACATCCTAGGGTTATAGTTTAAATTACTAACACTTGAGTCACTTATTTTGGTTTTTCTTTTTTTTGTTTTTTGTTTCTTTGTTTTTTGGTTTTTTTTTTTTATTTTTACTTTTTGTACCATAAGTCTGTGGTCAGCTTGCTCCATTGATTATTTCAAAGTAGTACCAAGCATACATACAAGAGTCTGCAATTAAAATAACATTAGATTAATACATTTTAATCAATTTCAAATATTTATGTAATAAATTTTTTTGAAAATTAACAAATGATAGAACTACCTTTTGTCTCCATCTGGACACATATACACTTAAAGCAAGTAAGCCTTTTCCTATTGTATCATCTATAGCCAAGGTTAACCAGATTATAATCTTGCTTCACTCTTCAGTATCTATGGTTTCCCCAGTTGTCCTTTTCTTGTTTGTGACTCTGGATGGTACATGGTCTACCCTGGTCCTCATCATCTACTGGGATGCAGAAAATTACTAAGACATGACCATAAAATAACAAGGGGACACAAGTGAAATATCAAATAGTTCATCAATTATTTTCCAAAGACTGAATCTCTTTGGGAAATAGAATGGAGTTCCCAAGGGTAAAGGCATGGCAAAAGCTCGTAAAGATTTTGGAGTGCCAGTTCTACACAGAGACAGCTGTTCAAGGATGACACAGCCAAACATACTTTGAAAACTACTACAGGAGGAAAAGGACACCAGAAAGGTCAGTTGACTCAATGTTATTCAGATGTTGTCTTGAGATATGATGACTGCCTAATTAGATCTATGTTTTCAAGAGATGGGCTCTTTAAAATGCTAAGAACAGACTAAGGATGGGACAGGGTAGGCACAAAAGACCAGCCAAGTACCCCTGGTATACACAGCAGCATTTTATATAAATGGGGTGAGTATTCAAAGTTGAAGTTTGAACAGAAACTCTAGTAGGTTTGAACAGATAGCCAGAGTAACATCTCCAAGGTGACTAAACAAGTATCCTTTTTCTACTAATTCTATATTTTATGCAATTAATATTCCACTTCATTCAGATGTTTGTTCAAATTGGGCAGTGTGCAGAAAAAGATAATGAACAAAACATAAAAAAAAAATCCTATTTCATGGGATTTGTGTATATTCACAGAAAGTCTCCAAAAGGGTTCCTAAACTGCCAGATAATGGCAAAGAGAATAGACAAGCTAGGCCAGCAGACACGTGGAAAACAAGGTCATGAATTTTTAATGAAAGGAACAACAATTAAAGATTCGCTCTTCACTTTTGTTTGCTAAATAAATCCAAACAGTTGGGTGGGTTAGATATTATCATTTCTCAATTAAGTTTTATTTGCTGCTTAAGATAATGAACAACAGCTAAGAACACATTAAGAATTACCTGTACCTGATGACAATATTTCTGATACTGATGAAGGGAAAGATACTCTCATCTTTCTATAAGTCTCAGAAATATGCTTAGATTCATACATACAATAATATTTTGTTGCCAAACTTAATGTATAGGCTGTTAAGTTAGATATATCTTCTTAACCAGGCAAACAAGCCTTAGTCTCTTTGGGACCAGAAGGTATTCAATGATATAGTATATAAAGTCCAGCTATTAACAGACAAGTTAAAATAGACAAAACAGTCAAAATTACTGACAATTCAATAATATCGACTCTTCTTTTTGGCGATGTTGGACCACTATCAACACTACCTCCATAGCCCCTGTGCAGGCAGAAAGGCAGGGACCACCCATAGTCACAATGGCAGTGATGTTTGTTATTACAGATCCCCCTCCTATTACAGGTCTCAGGAAGGCAGGCATTTGAAAGGACAGACAGGCTGATACACTTCTTGTGTATGCAGATCTTCCCTGCTCCACAGGTGGTGCCATCTTTCACTTCACCAACATCCGGTACACCCATCCCCAAATGATGGTCAGTACTCCAGCAGGTGGCACCATCGGCATAAATGCTCTGCAAAACAGAGTGAGCCTGGAGATGGAGAATATTTTCCACGTTTTCACACTGGACTTTCCCACAAAATATATCTGACATTCTGCATTTTAGGTATATTGTGCCATTTGTGCCACAGTGGCCAAACCTGTTTCCCTGTGAGTTCATTTCTTTGTAACAATTAGGAGATGCACTTCTTGCACTTTTGCCAAAAATCTCCCTGCATTGTTGGTCATGGTTATTACACTGCTTTTGATAGCAGTAGGCACTGACACCACAGGAGACCCCATTCTGTACATAGCCATCTTCTGGGCACTGGTGGGATGTTCCATTGCACCATTCTGGAAGGTCACATTCATTGACCTTCGGTCTACAGAGTTCCCCTGATAGCATGAGTTTGCAGTCTTTGCAACAAAGCCCAAAAGCACATGCAGCCCCAGGCCTCAGTTTACAGTTCAACAAACAACAGGGATCCTGTTCACACTCATGTATAGATCCACAGTCACACTCCTCTTCTTTCTCAACCATACCATTCCCACAGCGCTTCACCAGAAAGACTGCCCCTGGTCTTGGATGATTGTGCAAACAAGTTCCTTGGTTTAAAGTAGTCTCCACAAAATCATGATAGCTACAGTTGGTGAATCTCTCCGCTGGCACTCTGAAAGCACTCATGACACAACCTCTTTCCCCACAAGTACAGGATTCTTCATCATGCTGCATACCAAAAGTATGACCTAACTCGTGGGCCACAGTGTTGGCAAAAAGAGACCAGGAGTCTCCTTGGAAATTTTCAACCCCACAGTCAAGTGGAGGATGACATATTCCTGCAACATAGGCTATGCCAAGTACACTTATAAATGAGCTTCTGATGAAAATGTGGGCTGCATCGTGAGGTACCTGAGAAAGACTGATTTGTTTCCACTCAGAAAAATCTTCTAAGACCTGATAAATGTTTTCCACTGGGAAAACATTTCCTCGATTCCAAATCTCAATGCCAATCAAAGACACATAGGTATCCAGCTGCTTGTACATGGAATCCACCATGTTAACAATGAGAACCACATCTTCTTGCACCTTTGACAAATTGCGTTGAGAGTAAGTGAAGAAACCATAGTCTACCACTACAGCCAGCTCCAGAAACCATGTGTGGGTCCATGATTTTCCAGAATTTTGCTTCACAGCTGGCTTCTCAGCTTCTTCAAGTCCAAAGCGTTGGTATGGTGTTCTCTTCTCTGTTAAACCACATATCATAGGTGGAAACTGTGTCTTGTTATAATTTACTGTATAAACTAGGTGTTCAAACGTGCTGGAATGCCTGATGGGTTCGATTTCATAGGAGAAGCCATTCACTTGTAACACTCCCTGAAACCCCCCACTGCAGGTACTTAACGCAACTAAAGACTCAGGAGCCCCCTCTACAAAACCATGATAGTAACAGTCACTAGGGATGAAGGGGTAATCCTTGAGAAGGGTATGTTCCTCTGTGTAGGTGAGCACAGAGAAGTGAGTAGGAACCAGCAGCTTCTTGACTCTCATGTGGACAACATGTCTTTGGCCCCCCAAAATCAGGCTGTAGGAGAGCCATCCTGAATTTTTTGTACCTCTGGCCCTGCTGGTCACCTCTAGGGGGATGACCACTTCTGGCGAACTGAGGTACTGAGTGGACCCAGTCTGGGAGAGGTCAATAGGGGACAGAAACACCTTAAAGCAGAGCAGCAAAAGAGTGACTCTCATGAGTGCTCCAGCATCTGCATCTAATATTATGAAGCCATCTGCCCAGAGCAGAAAAAGACTGGGTGTGAGACACTCCTGTTCTGGCTCTTCCCCTGGAGCTGATCAGAGAGCAGTGGTGACCTTTAGAGATGGTGCACCGCAGAGTTGGACCATCAGAGCACAGTGCTGGAAGTGAAAAGAATCATTGGATAAGGTGAGACATTCAAGTGAGAAAATATTGACTGACGAGTCAGGGCAGTGCTTTTGGATTTGGTTTCAATAAATAGAGCAAAAAGTTCCGGGGCGAGGGTAGAGAAGATAATATTGGCCGTATAACTGCCAAAGTATGAAGATAAGTACTTATACAATTAGCTTAATCCTTACAGGTGCTATGAAAAATCTATAATAAAAAGTTAAAGCAGAATCAGGAGTAGAATGAGTCTCCATCTTGATTTGTCTAATAGTATTAGTTCACATTTGGGTGCCTTTGCATAACGATTGATAGTGTTCCACCTGGTGGCTAAAACTGGAAACAGGAAAAATAATCAACAATCAGTATAAATTTGCACTAGTCTTGGAATTTACATGAATTGCTCTTTATTTGTTGTCTCCTCATTGGATTCTCCTTTATCTGTATGTAGTACATTGCAAGGTCCTTAACTACAGGGTTCATAACGTTCATTTTAACATCTTCTGTAATACCCAGTATATTTCTATAAACCATGAAAAAGTAGAGAGATGTGGTTGAACACCTTAGATTATAAATGAATGTTATTTAAAATGGATTTGTCTCTAATTATAATTTTGGAAGGGGGAAAATTCATGAAATGCCTGTAAGGATATAGGAAGAATATGTTATCAGTTACCTGGAGAAAATAGAAATGTCAAAAGGAAATGTCTCCAAAAGGAAAATGAGAACACATGCAGTTTAAAGTCCCAAGCACTGGCTGTATGGTATTTTAGGACTGCTATGGAAGAATTTCAGTTTCAAAAACATATACTTTTGAAAATGGAGAATTTCTGCAGCTGACATACAGTCTCACTGGCAACACATCCATGTCTTTATTCATTTAAAAAAAAAAAGGATTTATGTATTTAGAGAATACAAAGTACAGAATGTTGTGCCAGACCTGGGGGGATCAAAATATAGAAAATGAATATATATTATCAATTTAGTGCAGAAACTTGTAATAGAAACACGAGTAAACTTTATGGGGTCTCTATGATTGTGTGCAAGGTTTTATATTGAATAAATTAAAGTTCTCTAGTTTTGTTTTTGTTTGTTTGTTTGTTTTTGTTTTTTTTTTCGAGACAGGGTTTCTCTGTGCAGCTTTGGAGCCTATCCTGAAACTCGCTCTGTAGACCAGGCTGGCCTCAAACTCACAGAGCTCCTCCTGCCTCTGCCTCCCAAGTGCTGCGATTAAAGGCATGTGCCACTACCGCCCAGCTAAAGTTCTCTTGTTATTCTGAGAGAAAAAGTCTTAAGACTTCATCATAGTTTCAACTAACTTATACAAACCAAACCTATGTGAAAACAAGAGAAGGAAAGCGGCATTTGTAATACCCATTGAAACAAACCAGACTGATCCGAGGTTAACAAAGTTCATGCTTTGGGGATCCTCATTGCAGGCCTCTAGAAATACCCTAAGGAGGCCTCACAATACACTTAATACAAGTCACCAATCATACCTCATAAACAAAAACAGAATTTCTGAAATTGGATAATATATGGGTAATATATTTTTTTTTCTCATTACCAATCATATGTTCTGGAGAGGAAAGTTGTTTTTTTCCTAAACTATCAGGAATACAGAATAAATATTTATCATAGTAGAATGAGAACTGCTTTTTAACTCCCCCAGGAGAAAGTACAGTGAAGTAATTTTCATAAGGGAAGAGATTGGAAAAATCAATTGCTAAACCTATGAACAGTCACAGCACTTGTAGATGGAACTCAAGGAGGGAGGTTTGTGGGTTGAAGGCCAGCCCTGGTGACACAGTGAGACCCTACCTAAAACAGGTAAATAAACATGAGAGAATACATATGGTAAAGGTGTGCCCAGATCAATATAAACATTGATGAGGGTCAAATTCCATTATACCTATGGTGCTGTTGACTTTTCAAATTTATAAACTGTACCAAGTAAATGTTTGCTTTCCTACTCATTTTTATACTTGTCATTCTGTGTCTGCTCTTAAACTAGGCCCTTCATCTTATATATACGTGACTCAGAATCAAAATTTTTATGTCATTTCTGGTTTTTATAAAAATACTGGCCGGGCGGTGGTGGTGGCACACGCCTTTAATCCCAGCACTCGGGAGGCAGAGGCAGGTGGATCTTTGTGAGTTCGAGGCCAGCCTGGGCTACAGAGTGAGATACAGTGGTTGGTATAAGGATGTGTGTGTGTGTGTGTGTGTGTGTGTGTGTGTGTGTGTGTGTGTGTGTGTGTGTGCATGTGTCCAAGCAGATGCACTCATGTCTATGTTAGGTGTCTTAACTCACTCTGCACCCTACTTTCTGTGACAGGGTCTTAGGTCTGAAAACTTGAATCTCACTGATTCTTCTAGATTTGCTGACCAGCAAGCCCTTGCCTGTCTCTTCCTCCCTGGCACTGTAGTTACAAGTACACACCGCCATACCTGGATTTTACATGGGGAGTGAGGATTCAAACTCAGGGATGTATGCTTCAGTGGCAAGCACCTCACTAACTGAGTCGTCTCCCCAGCCCCAGGATCTAGTTTCTCACAGCATTTTGGTTTGGGGTTTTTGATACACACACTTGTTATGTAGCCAAAGGTGGCCTCAAAATTTCTGTGTAGTCCAGGCTAAATTCAACTAGTAGCCTCTACCAGCCTCCCAAGTGATGGGATTATAGGTATACATCAGTGTGTTCAGCTTCCTAATGTATCTTTAATCATACTGATAGTGATAAACCTTACCTAAGGAGATGTGGAAAATAAAAATGACCAACCAAATGCCAGTCACCTCCCGAATTCCAAATCCATCCTCACTTGATGAAAGCTTCCCGATTCAACTTTTCCTGTACCTCCCTACATCCTTTTATGTTTTCTGGAATCTTCCTTTGATGAGAGAGGAAGAGAAGGAAAGGAGGACAAAGGTAAGGAGAAAAGGAGGGAAGGACTGGAGAGAGACAGAGACCTCTTTAAGACAAGTCCCCTCCCTGTGCCTCTGTTTACTTAATTAAACTTGAGTTTTAAAAAAGAAGTTACTGTTACATGAAAGCTCACCCCAACTCCATCCTCAGAGGCTTCATATACCATATGGTTTGGAGTCAAGGCTCCCGTTCTCCTGTCCACAAAGTCAGTACCAAAGCATTCATTCTACAACTGACTGCACTAATCCTTACATTTCTCATCAACTACTTCATCTCTCTTGCACAAATTTCTAAGGCATTGGCCTCAGACTGATTATTTTTCACCAAAAATTTGACCCTCAACTAATCTCAGCAAGTGAACAACACACCCCCAAATCAGTTTTCAGTGACTCAGTCATAGCTATAATCTCTTTCCCACACCACCCCATCTCTTCTATCACACGTACATACACTTCTCATATCCTAAGGACTTTGCAGTTCTAATCCCTCTGTCTCTGCCTTGCTCTGATACATACTCCTCAAGCTCAGAAAGAGTTTGAGTATTTTCACTTCTCATTGTGTCATTTCTCTCAGTCTCTTCCTTTGTCCCTGATCCATTGGAGCCCAGGCTACCAGTTCCAGCGCTTCAACCACTACATATCAAAGTCTTTAACTCACTAAGGCTCTACAACTACAGTTTCTATGTTGAACATGTCTAGAGGGCCACGTCTAAAGCTCTGATCATATGGAGGTGCCATTGGGAGATGCTGTGAACCTTCTAAAGGTGGAGTCAAGCTAAGGGGGGATGGTCTCTGGCTCCATGGAGATGTGCCATCCAGGGAACTATGGAAGCCTGGCCATCTTCCTCTCAGTTTTACTCCCCAGCTTGTAATGAATGTGAATTTGTTCTGCCTTTCACTTCTCACCATTCCCATCTGGTCTGACCATCAGAGGCTGGTCACCTGATCATGGGCTGAAACCTAGAAAACACTGACCTAAAATAAACCTTTTTCCTTATAAGTTTTATTATTTGGATATTATGTTATAGTGACAGAAATATAACTAATATACCCATTTACAATACACATTGAGGTGGCGGGGGACACTACAGAGAACCTGTCAAATTCTTTATTCCTTCATTGAAATTATTACAAAAATAATTCCCAAACAACACAATTACCAAAATTTTTAAAAGGGAGTGTACAATCTGAACTGAAATGATGTGTTCTGGCTTCCCAGTCCAAGGGATAGAGACATTAATTCAATGTACATCCAAACTCTCTGATACCTTGTTTATTTTCATTTTCCTAGATACTACATTGAAATCTCCTTAACGTTCTGAATCTCCTTGTTCATGTAGTTCATGTGGAGAAAATCCATTCTCATTGATATCACAATAAAGTTAAATCATTAGCCAAGTACACTTTGTCTGAGTATAAAGTTCTTTTTTTTTTAATCTGTCCTAGGTTTGTTACATAAATATTGGTTTGTTTCAGTCTGAAAATATCCTTGCCATTGATGTTTCTAAAAGACCCTGGATCTATTTGACCAGGATCTTTGAAAAGTATTGCTCAACAAGACATCAGCAGAACACAAGACAACTGAAATCTTTTCTTTTGAGATAACTTGTTCTTTTCACCTATAATACATAAAATGTTTAATCATGTAAGAGATATGGAAAACATGCTTTTTTAATTTGTATTTATTGTAATCATTCACTTGAAAAACAGGATGCAACCACATTGTAATTTTTATATTGCCTGAAAGATTTTCCTGGGGTATATAAGCTGTAAGGGAAAGAATAAAGGTAGAGTTAAAGTGGGTTAGAAGGAAAACATCAAGAATGAGAGAGTTAGAAGGGAAATATAAATAATAAAGATAGAGTTAGAAGGGAAATATCAAGAATGAGAGAATTAGGAAGAAAACATCAAGAGAGTTAGCAGGAGAAGGAAAACCTCAAGAGAGACAGAAGGGACATTTCTGCATGGAGATAAGAAAAGAAAATATAGAAAACAGAATGAAGAACACAGAATAATAAAGAAGGAAACCATCAAGAGAGTATATGAGTATCTTTTCCCCTAACCCCCTCAGATTAAAAAAAAAAAGTCTAGTACATGCTGACACTGTGGATTTCCCTTTGAGCCCTGTGCTGGTGCCCCAGGCAGTGATACAACATGAACATACATTTCACCAATACTTTTCCTGGAGCTTAGCTTTATAGCAGGCAGCAAGAAGAAAATAAAACCTTTACAGAAGACTCTCTGCTGTCCTTCCTAGAATTACAGAGACAAAACAAATGGAATATCACTCTAGTATTGATTATATGAAGTTTAGCCACAGCTGTCCATATTCAACATTGTCAGACTATCAAGCATATTCCTTGACATATTGTGTAACTTTCACTATTTCAAATTCCTCAAAACATATATGCTCTTCTCCCTTTCTAACACCCCAGTATAACATGCCCTGTCTATCATTTAGATAGGCACGTGTATGAAAGCCTGATGACCTGGGCTGATCCATTAAAAAAGTTGTGGCATTAATTTAGTTGGTCATGATGTGTAAAATTTTTTTTTTTTCGAGACAGGGTTTCTCTGTGTAGCTTTGCGCCTTTCCTGGAACTCACTTGGTAGCACAGGCTGGCCTTGAACTCACAGAGATCCGCCTGGCTCTGCCTCCCGAGTGCTGGGATTAAAGGCGTGCGCCACCACTGCCCGGCAATTTTTTTAGAAAGAAAATAATAGAACTGTCAGAGGGCATCCCTGAAAAGTCCCCACTGATTCTCACACTGACGCTCATATTGTGTCAAATAGAAGTTGGCAGGTTGAATGTGTGACTCTTGATAGTAAAAATTCAAAGATACAAATGGTTTTCAGGATTTCTACTTTCTACGCCTATCTGAATCCACACCACACTCACTTCTCTTCTATTCAACTCTCCATTGTGGTGTCAGTGGAGAAGTGATTCTCCCCTAGATTTATTTTTAACTTTATTATTATAGCAGTCACTGTGCCATGGCATGCATATGAAGGTCAGAAGATACTTTATGGAGTCTGTTATCTCCTTCCACTTTTCCATGGACCTATTCAGGTTATCAGGCTTGTGTAGAAGTGTCTTTGCCTGCTGAACCAGCTCACCAACCTCCTCCCCTCAGTTTAGGTAATAGCCATACTTTCTGGTCCATATTGTATTTCTGACCTACTTGGGGACTGGGTCTATCAATTTTCACTACTTCTTCTGTATTTTCATCTTCTATTTTATCTTCTCTTTACTGGCAGTTAAGATAATCAACCACTTCACTCAGATTTGTTCAGATCTAGCCTGCTTTTAAAACTTAAATGTTGTCCTCCCTCATAGCCATCCCCTCAGTTTCAGACAAACTTCAGTGATTGGTTACCCCACCCTCTACCCTCTACCCCCTACCTGTGCTTAAGTCACTCATGTATTTAAAAGGAAAAAGAAGCAAACATTAAGAAATTTCACATTATCCCGTAGACTATTTTAGATACCAACTTACACAGTGTCAAACCGGATGAGTGACTTAGCAGCAGAAAACAGTCATTACCATGGTCCTTTCTGTCAGATGGTTTGCTTGATCCCTATCAGTCAACAGCAGTTTATAGTTGCAGTCACACAGAACAAAGAAATGCAGCCCCTCCCTCACCCCCTTTGTCTGTCTCATGACTAAATTCTAGATTTAGCTGCTTAGCAACAAGGATCTTTCCCTTCTCTATAAACAGCAACCATGGGGATCTAGCTCAATGGCAAAGCATTTGCCTAACAAGCACAAGGCTCTGGGTCTATAGTGGCAACAAAGAAAAGATAAAATTATTTTAAAAGACAAAATTATAAAGAACACCCAACTCTAGAATGTCTTGCTGTGACCCCACGGTCCCTATACAGCTTTGTTTCAGAACTCAGTGTAACTCAGTTGGACTGCCCTTCCACTTCCATCTTTTATTCCCCTGCAGAGGTCCTTGATCCCGGCTTCATAATTTTGCTTATGCCATTGCATTGGCCTGGATCAAATCATTTTTCACAAGTGAAGTGGATTACTTCAACTTTATGGACCAAGATCTAGATGAAATTTCATGTCCATTATCAAAACTTTTTCTAAATAGTCTAGACATTAGCTTTCTAACACTCTTAGTAACATTATAGTCTATACATTTCTGTGTTATAAATTTATAAACTGCTGTCATCTGTTTTACATATAAGCTTTTGGGGTTATTTTTTGAGAGTTTTATTTTGTAGCCCTGGCTGGCCTCAAAACTCACTATGTAGCATAGGCTGGCCTCCAACTTGCAGTGACTCTCCTGTAGCTAGAGTTTTCCTGCCTGGCCCATAGTAAGGACAAATCTCTGACACCTGCCAGTTCCACAGCCGCTTAGACCCAACCAAGTAAACACAGAGACTTATATTGCTTACAAACTGTATGGCTGTGGCAGGCTTCTTGCTAACTGTTCTTATATCTTAAATTAATCCATTTCCATAAGTCTGTACCTTGCCACGTGGCTCGTGGCTTACTGGCATCTTCACATGTTACTAGTCATGGCGGCGGCTGGCAGTGACTCCTTCTGCCTTCCTGTTCTTTCTTTTCTCCTCTCAGTTAGTCCCGCCTATACTTCCTGCCTAGCCACTGACCAATCAGTGTTTTGTTTGCTAACCAATCAGAGCAACACATTTGCCATACAGAACATCCCACAGCACTCTCCTGCCTCTGCCTCATAGGTGCTGAGATTATAGGTCTGTACCACCCACACACAGTATCAGAGAAACTTTAAACTGCATCTACTATTAGAATGGTTTTGAGAAAAAATTTTCAGAGTCAAGAAATTTTGGTAGAGTACTTGACATGATGTGTAATCTATGAGACTGGTTTAAATGTTAACTCTAGCTCTCAGATGATTTCTTTCTTAAGAGATTCTTATCCATTGAAACTTTCCCCTGCTAATTTAACTAGTACACCCAAACCCATGAGATAACTATAAATTAGAAGCATTATCAATCAGTTCTCTATTTCTCCTCAGAAACTTCTCTGGAACTATTTTAGCCATCTAGACAGAACTAGAGGCACCTCCCTCTTAGGATGGGCAGCTGTAAACAGCTGTCTTCAGCTTCATTCTGTGGATAAAGTTTGTTCCTTTGCCAGAAGTGATTAACAATGAAGGAAACTGTGTCAGTTGTTTGTTTGTTTGTTTTTCTGTGATCAAATATCTAAGAAAAGAGGCTTAAAAGTGGAAATGTGTGTTTGGCTTACAGTTTTAGAAACATCAGTCCTTCATGGTGGGGAGGGTATGGCAGGATAGGACAGTTTATGTCATAGTGGCCAGGAAGCAGAACCAATGAATGCAGAAAGGGGCCAGGACAAGAAATAACACAAAAGGGTATACCCCCAGTGACCATTAGGTCCAACTAGGTCCTACCTCCTAGCTGTCAGCACCTACCAGTGATTCCATTACATTATGAATTAATTCGGGGGTTAATGCACTCATTAGGTCAGAGCCCTGATCTAACCATCTTCAGAAACTCTCAAAAGCACACTAATCTCCTAAGCACTTCTTAAGCCTACCCAGGTTGGCCATGGTAGCTCACCCCTTTAATCCCAGCATTCAAGAGGCAGAGACAGAGGGATCTCTTTGAGTTTGAGGCCAGCCTGGTCTACAGAGTGAGTTCCAAGACAGCCAGGAAAATCCTTGTCTCAAAAAACAAAAAGGGGAAAAAAAAAGTCTACTCTAGGTTGACAAAACTATGACACATAAAAATGAAGTGAAAGAATCGGAAACCATGCAAACTCAACCCCAGAAAAGTTCAATAACAACTTACTAGTACCAGTCTGCAAAGAAAGTCTACCTTGGGAAAACAATTATGACAGAAGATTAGGAATTCAGCAATGTGCAACCCACAGGTGGGACAGCAGAGAAACCTTCCGGAAGCAGTTTCTCTCCAGTTTAGGAAGGAATAAGATCTATTGCTTTACGAAGTCACTGAGAAGGACCTCTAGTTTTTAAACCAAATAGAAGAGACACACTGCTGCTGGTAGTCCTGCTACATTCAGACAAAAATACTGGAGCTTCTTTATGAAGCAAATGAAGTTAGGTTTGGTAAGGTGGAGAAAAGAAAGCAGACTGGCTAGGTGCATTGAGAGCTGGGGAATAATGTGCAGGTTCTAACCCTGACATGGGAACAAACAGACCAAAACATCCCCCTGTGGGGGAGGAGTAAATTTCAAGTCTCAGCTCCTCAGATTAGCTTTGCTGGTGAAGTTGTATATGGGCCTGTCATTTTTCCTGGGCTATTTGGCTAGTGGATGGTTGTTGTTCCAAAAGGGTTGTGTCACTGTATACAACCTCTTTTGAGATCTTTTAGCTGAAGAAAGAAAACTTTTCTATTAATTTCAAGGCAAATGGTGGTCAACACATGCAACCCTAGCATTTAGGCGGCTAAGGCAGAAGGCAGCCTAGACTATAAGTTCAAGGCCAGGCTGCACTATATGTTGAGACCCTGTCTCAAGAAAGTTTTGAAGTCGGGATTTATTAGTTTAAAAAGACATCTAGGGCTGGAGAGATGGCTCAGAGATTAAGAGCACTGGCTGCTCTTCCAGAGGTCCTGAGTTCAATTCCCAGCAACCACATGGTGGTTCACAACCATCTACAATGAGATCTGGTGCCCTCTTCTGGCCTGCAGGCATACATGCCGGCAGAATACTGTATACATAATAAATAAATCAATCTTTAAAAAAAAAGAAAAAAAAAACTAAAAGAAGTAAAGTAACTAGAGGTGATCCATGGAATGTAAGACTACACAGATGCTATGAAAAGAAAAACTCAGGTTGTAAAGCATAATTTCTCTTCAAATTCCAATGAGTGATTCCAGTCCTTAGAAGGCTATAAACATATTCTAACCTACGAATGTTCATAGCATTATCATTTCTAAGTTTATTCCAAACACTCCAAAAAGAACCACTCCTCAATCAGTGACAGCTAAACTTCTCCACTGAATGATCCTCTGCATTAACATCAACACGTTTCTAACATCTGCCATGGCATGGGGGAATCTTACAAAGAACATGACTAGGGAAGGGAAGCAGACCAAAGGTTATCCTCTATAAATGTTTTCATTTGAAGGGAGCTGTAGAACAATGCAAACTGATTGATGGGATTAGTGAGACAGTCAGTAATTTCCTCATGTATGGTGTAATAGCTCATGGAGAGACATGTCTGGAGTGGCAGAAAGTAGCAGTCAGGTATTCTCACATGATGGCCTCCAAGGAAAACATCATGCTCATTTTAAGTGTTTGTATGTGACTGCATGCTAGGTACACTTAGATGAGTATGTCTGATGAAGTCTCTTAGTTTAGATTTTTTTACACCTCTTTCATCATTCACACACCATTGACATCTCATAAGACACTTTCCTTCCCATTAAAATACCATTTTAACACTGGATTACATGTATGTAGATTCAACTCGGT